TGTGGAGTCCTGGCCTGGGTATTTTGGTCGACCTTCAGCAGTGAGGACTTCACCTACGGCAGCTTCTCTTTCTTTCACTTCATATTTATGGAAAGAAGGAGCCTTTAAGTACCCATGGTCATGTGACACCACTTGCTGCATTGGAGGATTTGAGACTCTCTCAATTTCATCCTAAATAATAAATGAAGGAAATCTGTTAATCATACCTTAAATCATCAATACTTTGAACAAATATTAAATACACATTTTCTTCAAAGTAATTTTTTTTCCAATGTTATAAATCAAACCATAGCTAAAAATTCTAGATTGTTTTCATGAAATACAATTTCTCAAACAAGCAAATAGACAGACAAAAAAAAAGAACAAACCTTTGTCTCAATTTTAAGATCTGAGTTGTTATTGTTGTCATTGGTGGCTGATGTTCCAGATTCAAGAGTTTTCATTTTTTTTGTACGAACTCTTCCCTCACGTGTACTTTCTAATTTTCTCTTTGGCTTGGATGTAGTGACTGTAGTTTCTTGAACAGATTTTACATCAGCTATATGCACTGCATCTGTTCTTGATAGAGGGGGTCCACTTTTCTTGCTATCTTTATTTACTGTTACCCACTCTTTCTTTTTAAAAATTTCATTCTCTTTCTCTGGAGTAACAGTGGACACTTTCTTCATTTTACTCGAGTTATCCCCAATTTGGGTCACCGATCTTTGGGATCCTACAGATTTGCAGCCACGGTTATTCACTGCTGTACTTCGTTTTCGTGACCCCGAACTCTCTTGCTGCACCAAACGTCTGTTTCTTGCCGGGACAGACTCAAGCACATAATTCTGGCGACTCTGAGTACCTAAAACATATCATAACATTAAGTCCATCTGGTTGCTATCAGAACAAAGACAAAATATTCAAAACAGTAATCATAATTCAGAAGTAACCTGTAAGTTAGGCTCCTGTGGCTACTGTTATCTTATGAGAAAAATGGGATTGGGTTCCAAGGGTTGTCTTTAATTACACATATCACAAACATTTTTAACAACTTACAATAATAAGAAACCCTGTACAAAAGATGACAAGAAAACATTAAACACATAAAGGTTTATCCTCTCTTATGGATGATAGAAATACCAATTAATAGAAGATTGATATTTTATGGCACATTAGCCTAAGCTACACTTAACCTTATGCCCCATAATGTTATCAATTTCTTTGTACTGTATACAAGTTTAATGCATCATAGTGAATCAATTTAATGAATAAACAAGCAATGTGATGACTGTATATTAATTAATGTATAATAAATTAAATAATAAAATAAGAAATCATACCACTCATAATCCGATGTCTTGCAATATCATGTTATTCCCATAGATATGCCTCTCGAAATAATGTTTTTCATACAACACTAAGATTGTTAAAAAATAATGGGGTGCATAAATTCAATTTCATTGTCATTTGTCAACTTTCCATCGTCACTACCAAACTGCATTAACTAGCCTGCACATCCTTCATAACTATCCCACAAATTGAGGGGTGGCTAAACTGTAATTTAATGTAACTGAAACTTTTGCCTCATGATCAGACGTATAGTTCATTTTCTCTAAAAGTTCTTGGTTGAATAACATCAAATTTTAACACCACTCTCCTGCATGGAACAGAGTTTTAAGGCTGGGTGGCAACCCGTCTACATGGGGGTAGATCACGTGGCCTCCAGACAAACACAACAGTTATGCATCTGGCTCTCAGAGAGAGAGAGAGAGAGAGAGAGAGTGTAATAACAATAATAATAATAATTAACGGTTTATTGAAAAAATTCTGCAGCCCGAAGGCTGAAAATATACATTGGACATAAATGACTTATTACATACATTGGTGGCTTAACAAAAGCCTTCATTAGAGAAAGGTAAAGGAACATACAGTGAACATACAGATTAATGTAGGTGTTGAACAGCAAAGTCGTAGTGTAGTAACTCCCTCCCAGATGGTGTTTGGAGGAACTCACGTGGTGTAGTAGTTCCCTCAGATGGTGTTATGAGGGACCTGGCGTGGTGTAGTAATTCCCTCGCAGATGGTGTTATGAGGGACCTCACGTGGTGTAGTAATTACCTCACAGATGGTGTTATGAGGGACCTCGCGTGGTGTAGTAATTACCTCACAGATGGTGTTATGAGGGGCATCACGTGGTGTAGTAATTCCCTCACAGATGGTGTTATGAGGGACCTCACGTGGTGTAGTTTACCTCACAGATGGTGTTATGAGGGACCTGCGTGGTGTAGTAATTCCCTCACATATGTGTTATGTAGTAATTCCCTCACAGATGGTGTTATGAGGGACCTCACGTGGTGTAGTAATTACCTCACAGATGGTGTTATGAGGGACCTCACGTGGTGTAGTAATTACCTCACAGATGGTGTTATGAGGGTCCTCACGTGGTGTAGTACTTCCCTCACAGATGGTGTGATGAAGGATCTGGCGTGGTGTAGTAATTCCCTCACATATGGTGTTATGAGGGACATGTGGTGTAGTAATTCCCTCACATATGGTGTTATGAGGGACATGTGGTGTAGTAATTCCCTCACAGATGGTGTTATATGAGTGAGGTTTGGTCTTAGGCCTTCCTATCGTAGACGGATTAACACATCGCTGGTTGTTGTTGGGTCTCATGGGCCGTTATCACTGGGTACCTGGGACCTCACTGTGTGAAGGTTAACTTGGTACGACTGTTACTGTTGAGTTGTTCTCACTGACTTAAGCACTGTTCACCAATGTTCACCTCTGTTTAACACTGGTTCCGTTCCTTTCCTAAATGAAATTGTAACTTCTGGCGAGTACTTGTTGATATTCCAGTGGGGAAGAGAGTTCAGGGGAGGGGGTTGGTATGGGCCAACGTAACAGTTGACCTGGCTGCTCCAAGAGGAGCGCCAGGTACGTCTTGACCCTTCGGTGGTCAAGGATGTAGTGTGTGTGTGTGTGTGTGTGTGCGTGCGCGCGCTGGGCGTGAGATTCAATGTCACGAAGTCGTCTTGTGTCTCTGTAACAAAGCGTGTTCGGCACCCGGGCCTTCGTTGTTGATCGGCAGAAACTGGACAGTGATTACATAAGATCATCAAGATCGTCTTAGTGATGTGAAAGTGTAAATCGATGTAGGATTTTTAATGCTAGACGCGACTGTATTTTTGAAAACTCAATCTCCACCGAGTTGTAGGTACAGCCCAGGTCAAGAGGCTTACAACCACAAAATCATTGCCATGACAAAACTTTAATTTTATTTTTTTACGGACTTGTGGTCACGGCTGTGATAAAGGCCAACCAGGGAGTGTAGTACTGTGCCTTTAGTTAAATCAGTTGATAGTGTCATCAGTGACAGTGGAAGAGGTTGCAAATAAGTTAAAGTGAATACAAATTGGCAAGCAAGCTGGTAAGGCACCACTGCCTGCAGAGACCAAGTCGTGTTATAGGTGCCACAGAGACTTTAAATTTTATTTTGATTGTGTGCTTTCTCATGGACTGAAACTGTGCCTACAATACACCATTCACAGGGAGATACAGTGTACTGTACACAGTGATAGCACAAAGAGATATAGTCGTCGATGAGAACAGGAAAAGAAAGTACACTATAAGGAAATAATAGTTAAAAAAATAAAAAATAAAAAAACAAAGGCTTGGCTATCCTAAAGGGCATTCTATGACTACCGCAAAGAAAGTTTTAATTATTTTCTGTGTTTCTAAAGGACTGAGTGGGTGTATAAAATCTGTTATTCATAGCTAAATGCAGTGTACATAGAGATAGTGTAGTGGATTTCTTCCCTACAAACGCTGTTTGTCACCGAGTAGCCGACCCCGCAAATTCCACAGTGTGTGCCTCGTGGTCTCGGTCAACCAGCGCCACCTACGTAGCGGAGGTTAACTATCTACCCACGCCTGCCTCCGCTATAAAAGACCTGACCTCATGGTAACCGCTCTCTTTTCTACTTACACCAACCAGCCAGCAACACCTCCTCCTCCTCCACCTCCTGCCTGGCGGCCCTCGCCACCGCCGGCGAGCATGGCGACCCACAAGCTTGTCCTCATCTGAGCATCCTCACCAACCAGCTCTCTTCTTCTTCTAGCTACAGCCGCAGCAAGCAACACCACCTCCTCTGCCGCTGCCTGGCAGCCCTCGCTCCCGCCGGCGAGCATGGCGACCCACAAGCTGGTCCTCCTCTGAGCATCCTCACCAATCAGCTCTCTCTACATCACGCTTGTAACCACGCTGCCACTTCCCAGCACCAAGCTGCATTGTACATCCAATACAATATGTATACAGTGAGCACATTGTGAGTTTCCTTTCTCCATCCCATCCTGAGTGAAAACCCAAACATCCCATACCCCACAAATGGTGACCCCCGGAGTGACCACTCACACAGGATGGAGGAGAAACCGATCACTCTCCCAGTCTTCAAGCAACATGGAAGACTGGCTTATCCACAGAGGCAGCTCTCATCGGCTCTACAACTACTGTCTCTACACCGCAGGTTAGACACCCTAGAGCAGCATTGCTCCTCTTCCTGCCCCAAGCACCACGTCCTACCGACCCCAACACACCCGTCCTGCCTCAGACGCCGCCCCCGGCCCAGCAGTACCCCCTGCCGCTTCTCCTGATGCAGCCCCTGCTCCCGACGCAGCCCATGTGCCTGAGTGCGGACCCACACACACCCCTCTTTTCTCCCTCAGGAACCCCCCTGCTACTGTCCTGCACCCTGCTGCTGTCATGGACCCAGCTGCTGTCACGAGCCCTCATCCGCTTCTGCTGACGCAGCCCCTGCTCCTGACCGAGGCCCACACACCCGAGCAGGCGCATCTGACGACTCTGTACCTGCCGTGAGGGAAGCACAACATTCATCGCCTCCACACACCCTTTTTCTCCCTCTCTACTCCCACAGATATTGTGTATCTAGACAGTTGTCTCCTCAAGCGGCCGGCTCATCCACGCCATCACCGCTATGGCTCACATGTGGCATGCACCGCCCATTCTCTCTCACATGTGCCATGCGCCCCTGCAGACAACAAGTCTCCTACACCGCCTGGAGGGAAGGAGGGAGTATTGCAGTGGATTTCTCCCCTACAAACGCTGTTTGTCGCTGAGTAACCGACCCCGCGAATTCCACAGTGTGTGCCTCGTGGTCTAGGTCAACCAGCGCCCCCCACGGAGCGGTCAACTATCTGCCCACGCCTACCTCCACTATAAAAGACCTGACCTCGTGGTGACTGCTCTCTTTTCTACCTACACCAACCAGCAAGCAACACCTCCTCCTCCTCCTCCTCCGCCGATGCCTGGCGGCCCTCACTCCCGCCAGCGAGAATGGTGACCCACAAGCTTGTCCTCCTCTGAGCACCCTCACCAACCAGTTCTCTCTTCTTCTAGCTACAGCCGCAGCAAGCAACACCACCTCCTCTGCCGCTGCCTGGCGGCCCTTGCTCCCGCCAGCGAGAATGGTGACCCACAAGCTGTCCTCCTCTGAGCACCCTCACCAACCAGCTCTCTCTTCTTCTAGCTACAGCCGCAGCAAGCAACACCACCTCCTCTGCCGCTGCCTGGCGGCCCTCGCTCCCGCCGGCGAGCATGGCGACCCATAAGCTGGTCCTCCTCTGAGCACCCTCACCAACCAGCTCTCTCTATATCATGCTTGTAGCCACTCTGCCACTTCCCAGCACCAAGCTGCACTGTACACCTAATACAATATGTATACAGTGAGCATATTGTGAGTTTCCTTTCTCCATCCCATCCTGAGTGTGAACCCAAACATCCCATCCCCACAATAGCACATACATAGATACAAACAAATCACCAAAGTGAACTGAAAAAAAAGAGAAGAAAAACAGAAGACATCCCTCAAGGCAACAGGGGAGGTGTAAACCAGCAGAGGGCAGCTAAGTACTGTTTTTTTTTCT